GAAACAAACTGGGTATAAACATAATACATAATTTCCCAAATAACAAAACAAAGGGTAGATTCACAAAGACTAGTGACATGACTAAATTTAAGCAAATACAAGGTCATGAGTTCAAACCCCATACTGTCAAAAATAAAACAGATGAAAAATAAAAAGTATGGCTGGGGTGGCTCATGTTTGTAATCCTAGCTGCTGCTGGGAGCTTGAGATTGGGAGGACCGTGGTTTGAGACCAGTCTCGGCCAATAGTTTGCAAGACCCCATCTCCAAAATAACCAGAGCAAACTGGACTGGAGGTGTGGCTCAAGTGGTAGAGCACCTGCTTTGCAAGAATGAAGCCCTGAGTTCAAACCCCAGTCCCACCAAAAAAAAAAAAAAAAGTGAAGAAGAAAATAGGCTTCTAGACTTGACAAGTGATACAGAACCCTCCTAGCAAGCACAAAGTTCTAAATTCAAGCCCCAATACTACAAAAATAAATAAATAATAAATTATTATTTAAAATATGATTATTGATATAGTAAAAGTTTAAATGCATGATTAAAATTCACATTATATGCAAATCTATATCTACCTCAGAGACAGGCTGATCCATGTAGGTTCTACACTGTAATTTAGTGGTGAACAAATTTTGCTATTTATTCTGCTAACCTTGGTTTACCAAAAGACTTGGGCAATAAAAGCAAAACCAGAGGCATCTTATTTCATTCATGTATATAAGAAAATCTGATTATTTGTATTTGAAAAAGTAGTCTGTAGAATTTATGGATAGGCCACAGAGGAGAGGAAGTTTTTTGCATTCCTAGAGATGGGATCCTCTGCCCAAGAATGCTTCAGCAGACAGAGAAGCAGCAAGAATTTGTAACAGGCATTTGACTATTCAGTCCCTCGATTCCAATATCTGATAACGTTCTCCATCCAGAAATCCTCCTTAGAATCTAAACCTAATGCTCTCCTCTTTTCAAGTCATTTTCCTCTTGTTCTCTCTTTCCTGCATACTGAAATTAGCTGATCAGCAACAGATGAATAAGTCTTTTATGTCAATAAAACTTGAAATTTTGCAAGTTAAAGTACACCTCACCTTTATTTGTATTAGGTTATTTCAGCTTTATGGTTACCTTTGTTTATACATTTTTAACAAGATGTTTTATTCACAAAGCCATATTTGTTAAGCTGTCAACATGCAGTAATTAAAATAAAATAAATCTAAAAATGTGTGATGAAAAATGTCCATTGTTTCTGCAAGGTTTCCCAAGACTACATATATTGTTTTAAGACATGATCATATGTTTCTACCTTAAGAAGGGAATCCAAAATCTGAAAATACTGAGGAAACACACACTAAAAAGTGAATCATGAGTCCAATAACATTTCACTTAGTGTGCTTCTATAACAAGCCAGGCATGTTACATGACATACCCCTAATCCTCAAGAAGTTCTCAATCTTATTGAGAACAGACACATACCTAAAATATTCTACAATAACACACACAAGGTAAAAAATGCTACAGAGTCCAGTTTACTGGGCAGGGTAAGAGTGGCAAGAAAAGGCTGAGAAAGACTTCAGTGAGGCGAAGTCTCAGCTGAGTATGAAATAGAAAAAGCAAAAGTGAAAACTTTGAAAGCATAACGAGGCCTAAAACATTGTGAAATGCATAGAGAATTATAAAGTTAGAAGGATAGAAGGTGCAGAAAATGGAAAGAAACAATGCTGGAGTAGCAAGAGTTAAAAACGGAAAAGGTAGTCAATGCCTAAGTGATGGTACAATTTTCTGTACAGCTCAAGAATTAGGATTTTGTACTGTGGGAGATTTAAGGAAAAAATTAACAAGACCAGATGGCTGTGTGTGATTGCCACTGCAAAGGGTAGACTGGAAGGAGAGAAAAGCAAAGAACCCAGTCAAAAGACTGATTCAAACAGAAGCTCTGTCAAGGCAGCATGTAGGTGTGAACTAAAGCAATGGAATAAGGACAGAGAAGAAGCTGAAATTAAGGTGTTTCTGAAAGGAAGAATCAACAATTTGATTGGCAATTTGAGGTCTCTGATAAAGAACTGAGGGGAATGAAGACAAACTAGATATTCACTACAGTCATTAACTTAGAAAAGCACCAACAGAAGTAGCAGAGAAATGTTGGTCAGGAAAAATAATGATTTCAATACTGGACAGGCTATGTATGAATTGTTTATAGAGCATCATGTTGAAGATTGAGGGTGGTGTTAAAATGGTGCTTTACACCAACACACAGCTGAAAGTTGAGGAAGCAAGTACAGAGGTGTCACCTTTTCCTAATTTGCAGGTGGCAATGGTGATGGATCAGGTGAGGAGGTTCAATAGCATCTGCAGAGTTAGAGCAAGGCTGGAGATAAGCATGAGGCAGACATCACTATTCATGACTGTGACCAGTACAGTGACCAACAGCCCTCATATCTCAAAGTAATTAAAATTCACTAAAATTAAAACTTTATTTATTTGATCCCCCTTAGCCACATTTCATATGCTCAGCGATCACTGTAGTTAGTGCTTAACATACTGGGTCACACAGATGTAGCTCATTTTCATCAACACAGAAAGTTCTAAGGACATAGGGCTGGGGTGAGCCCAGGGGTGGAGTGCCTGACTAGAATGCTTAAGGTCCTGGATTTGATCCTCAGGATCACAAGAAAGTTCTACAAGACAGCATAGGCATGGAGCATGTATATTACTAGGGAAATTTGGGAACAGAACTCCAGGAAATAATACACAAAGAGGAAGGAAGGACAGTAAGTAAAGTGAGGAATGAGCAAGGGAGAAAAAAGAGAAAGGAAAGGAAAAAAAATAAAAATCACATGACTTTGACCAAGAGACAGAAGTTCAAGGGGACAAAATACTTAAAAATAGGAAAAGCTGATAAGAGGTCAAACAAGAAAAGGCATGAAAAATGCCTCTACTGAGCTATTTCACCCACACCTTTGCTATCATATTGGACTTATGGATGAATTGTATTGAAATTGTTACCAATGTCTTCAGATATACAATGACTCAATGAGAGTCACTCAAATGACAGTTTTAACTTTAAGTAAGAATACAAATTCCCCACAGGAAGGAAAAAGTTGGAAATATGGCCATCTTTCCTACCCTCTAGTCAATAGCTGTCATCCTTAACTATCATCCTTCTGGGAGCTTTTAAGGGTCTCTAATTAAGGTCTATCTCATGCCAAATATGTTTCTTGAAGGCCTATGTCAAATACCTGCATTCAGATATCAAACAGCACACGAAATTCTCTTCTCAAACCAAAAATAAAGCTGACAGAACAATGCTTAGCAGGGGCAGAGGAGACAAGGATAGGGGAGGTTATTCTTCATGGTACAGTTTGCGTTTGGGCTTATGGAAATGTTCTAGAAATGAACAGTGGTGACCACAGTGCAACAATATGAACACAGTAAATGACACTGAAGTGCACACACTTTAAATGGTTAAAATGAACAATTTTGTGCTACACATATTTTACCACAATATTTTTTTTAAATCAAGCTGAATTAAAACATGTAACATGGGAGAAAATCTTTAAGAAACCTCTCACAAACTTCTACACCTGGGAAATTTAAGATACCAAACATAAAAACTGAAAACATTTCCAGCAAACATCTGTTATTTGAAGTAATCTGTGATATTAAGGTGCAAAATATGCCAGGTGCTGGTGGCTCACACCTGTAACCCTAGCTACTCAGGAGGCAGAGATCAGGAGGATCATGGATCAAAGCCAGCCTGGACCAATAGTTCATGAGACCCTATCTCAAAAACACTCATCAAAAAAAGGGGCTGGTGGAGTGGCTCAAGTTGTAGGCCCTGAGTTCAAAACTTAGTACTGAAAAAAAAAGTACAAAATACAGGTTTGATAAAATATTAAGCATTTCTACTGTTGCCTGATGTGGTCAACAGTCTGAGAAAACAATAGAATAAAAATATTTAAAGCCAGTTTCCTAATCAAGGTGGCACATACAAACATCCCCTTATATGCAGTTCTGCTTTCCACAGTTGCAGTTATCTGCCCACCATCAATCTCAGTCCAGAAACATTAAGAGGAAAATTCTAGAAATAATTTATAATTTCAAATAACTTTTAGTATAATATATTGTTATAATTGTTCAATTGTATTATGCATTATTTTTGTTAATATCTTCCTTGTGCCTAATTTATAAATTAAGCTTTATCGTAAGTGTGTACATAGAAAAAAACAGCATATGTGGCATAGGGTTCTGAACTATGCATGGTTTCAGGCATGGACAGAATATCTCTGAACGTGACTCACAGATAAGGTGGGACTGATGTTTAGCCTTTGTCTTACTATTTGATTCTAGGGTCAGTAGCTGCAGTTAGCTGTCAGAATAGGAAAATGTAAATATCAACAGTAAAACCATGGGTAACTAGGTCTGTGAAGACAAAATGCCCACTCTGCAATTAAGGAAAAGCAATATCCCATGAATCACCCCTCACTCATTCCATGGCAGGGCCAGGAGCCAGGCTCAGGGACAGAAAGAACCCTGAAAAAAGCCAGCGGCTACTGCCATTTGTGTTTCTGCAACATGGAAACAGAAAATTTCAGGCTAAAACTTAAATCCACACAGGTAACAGTTCGTGAATATAAAATAGTACAATAAGCCAATGAATGTTTGGTTCAGAATCTTTTCCAAATTATACAATAACTAATCTCATGTGTATTTTAACTTTGACTGTCTCATCAGCATCCAGCTTTCGTCTCCAAGGATATGTACCCCATATGGAGAACAGACCATCTTAAACAACTCAGTTCTTCTTGCCCACTATTGGAAACTCTGTTCAGCTCATACAGCAATTCTGATGTCACAACCTGACAAATAAAATCAGCTCTTGACTGTAAACTAAAAAAGACACTGGCACAGTGAAAGGACAGACACTAGAAGTGGAAATCAACCAAAGAGAAGAATGAAAGAAGAAAACAAAACAGACAAAAAAAATAAATAAATAGAAGTGATGAGTCATACTATTATTATACTTACAACTTTCAGCCTGATAGTCTGGCACAAACTGCTCATCATTGTCAGGTACCTGAGCTGAAGAAGAAAAAAAAATTGTTTTAAATTAAGAGAGGAAATGCCAAGGCAATAAGGAATGTCAAGTCAGATCTGTCAAGCAAGGTCTTTTTCAGACTGAGATCAAACCTATGATTACTTGCCAATAAGCTCCTACTTAAAATGGTATCAACAGTGCTACTTAGAGGGGGAATAGAAGGGCTCATTGATGTCACCTAGAAAACATAAATATGTCAGAAATACAGTGGCAGGTGTAGTCCCTCTGAATTTCACCTGCCAGATGGAAATAAAAGAAACACAAAAGAAGCTACAGGATTTCTATTTCCTGCAGGGTTTTCTTTTGCCACAGTTGAGCAAAAAGTATTTCAATTCACCTGCTACCTGTGCTTTAGCTGCCCATCTAAATGAGCTTCATGGTTCAACACACATCTCTCTGCATTTTTAGAAATGACTACTCTTGCTATCTTCCATCTTTTGCAAACTACACTATCATAAGTAAAAATGTCTGCCCTAAAATTGACCAATGTGTGCTACAAAATTTTTTAAAAAATGAACAGATCACATATAACAATAATTTAGACCACATATAAAAAGTAATACATTGTAGTAATTATGATCATAATAATAAAAACAACAAACAATAAAGCAAATGCCATTTTTTTCCTGGCTGCTTTTCAGCAGTAACAAAAAGAATATCCCTATTTCATCAGTCTTAATGTCAAATGACTTCCCTATTTTTAGTAACGGAAAAACACTGAATAGCAAGGACTTAATGCATTAGGCAGCAATAAAAACACAAGCCCACTTTTCCACTTCGAAAACGTTTTCATCACAGCTGATTTAGACATGGAAATAACCTAGTCTTAACTGATAGACTATTACTAAAATAAGTTTTCACAAACGTACAAATACATACACTCTCACATACACAAACTACATAAAATGGAACTTAGGTTACTTTTAACTTGGTAAGCATATAATCAATCACCATCGTAATTGACTTTAGCTTTGATCTTATTAGCTAGCATTACTTTACTAACACTGTATAATTACCAATACTGAAACTTTTACATCCAATCAGTTCATATTAAAACAGATGTCTATTTCTTTAAATGGGCCTATTTGTATGGAGAATGCTAATTAAAATAAATAGTCTATGTTGAAAATGTTTCAGGCTGGTAACTGAATGAGTTAAGAAATAGTCCATACGAAAGGAATTTCATATGAAACAATTCTATGTACAAAAGGAATATGACATCCATAGAATTACAGATTCCTTTTCTCAGTTTATCTAGTAGTATTTTTTAAGTAGCAATACTTGGCTGAATAAAATTTATATTACATTATTTAGAACAAAACTATGCAATATTACATTATTAAGAACAAAATGTCCCTGATGAGAGGGCTGGCAGAGTGGCTCAAGTGGTAGAGTGCCTGCCTAGTAAGTATGAGGCCCTGAATTCAAACCCCAGTACCACCCAAAAAATAAAATGTGCTGGCTGGCATATGGGGAGGGAGAGGAAGAAGGGGAGGGAGAAGAGGAAAAAGGGGAGGGAAAGGGAGAGAGCGAAAGGGGAGCACTTAAGGGACAGAATATAGAAGTTATATCTCAAAAATGCACAGAAAATAGCTGCATGCTAATGATTCGTAAAAAGAATAAGGATAAGAATTGCTATTTCTGTTCTAACTCCTTTCCTTAACTTACTGAATAAATACTTCACACTTAGGCTTGAACATATTACAGAATTTTAACAAAAAACATATGACTCACATTTTCACAGAAGCTAATCTTAAGAAACTGAACAGACCAAATGAAGCAGCATACTACTTAAATAGACAAAGGCTTAAGTATACCTCTAATTTCAAGTTGGAGTAAAAGGAAAGCAGTTAACTAAAAACACAAGTTGGATCTGGATAAGGAAAATATGACAAAGAATTGTCACACTTGTATCATACATTTCCTTTCCTTTTCTTTTTTTTTTTTTTTCTTTAATTCACAAGAATTCTGTGAAGGAGCAAACTACAGCTTCCTGAAAATTAGTGGCAAGCCATACCAACTCCAAAGTTGAAAATTAACAATAGAGGCCAACCTTAAAAATGTATGTCTATGTTTTCATTACTATTATAAATTCTGCTTGAAATGATTGCCTTTGGGGAATGAAAATGTTTCCCCACACTATGAAATTAAAGAGGAAGGAGAAGAGGAGGAAAGGAGAAAGGGAGAAAATATATACCAAAAGACCCATAAAAGGCTTTCAAGAAGATGAGGCACGTAGATTTTATTGGTGATAGCTGAAGCGGCTCTATCAGCTTACTGTGCATTAACAGACACGTTGCCAATCCACTCTCAGGATCTCAGCTTTAAAAGGGTAGTAGTGTCTGCACTCTCAGCCATTTGCCTTACCTACATTATTACCCAAAGTTGTTCTTTAGTTTTCTCTATTTTTACTATAAAGCAATACATATAATAGGAAAGAAATTTACAAAATCATGACCAAAATGTCACAGAACCAACAACTCTCACTTTTAACTTTAATATCCTTTCTTAACTAACACTGCCTTGGGGATGGGAAATTTTAAATACAGCTTGTCTTGTTTTATGCCTATTTTTAACTTTTGAATAAAATCATATTTATTACTTATAAAGAGGTTGAGTGTTTAAAAAATTTGCCAAGCTTAGCTGCAGGCAAATTAAAACCCTCTTATTCTTACAAACTAGATGCCTGTTGAGTTTTTCTTGTAAACCTAGGAGGAAAAAAAAGCTGAAAAGTTTCAAATAAAACAAATGTCAAGTATAAAAGGGGTTAATATTTAATTAAAACCAGTTCTATCCACTGTAACAATGACCTGGAGCCAAACAAGGCGGAAGATGTATGAGTCATTCTTTCTGCCCGTGAATGAGACAGCTGATCTCCTCAGCAATTCCTCAAGACAAGCAGGCAGAACTGGAGCTCTGCCTCCATTCACAAAAACACAGTCCAGCATGAGCCATGTGGCCCAGCCACAATCTTTTCATGTCACACCCTTCCAGAGAGCTGAAGCAAGTAAACTTGAACTTGCAATATAAACACAATTTTATTGTTCCGTGTCAAATAGAACTCAGATTCATTAAGAAACACATTTTAAAAAAATGACAAGTACACATACGTGTGTGAGTATTCACACACACATTTAACCTATCATGCTTTACAGAGTAACTTATCACAGAAAGTTGAATGTACAAAACTGATGAAAGGAGTGAATTAGAAAGGGAGGAAGGAAAGGAACGGCCATTAAAGGGTCTGGGGTGCGGCTCACTGGTAGAGTGCTTACTCAGCATACAGGAGGTCCTGGGTTTGATCCCCAGCACCATAAATAAAGAAAAAAACTAAAGAAATGTTTTATATTTCTTGCCTATTATTCCAAGTTTTCTTTTTATCATAAGAATATAGTAGATTATTGCCAACAAGTGCAGGGCCCTGGGTTCAATCCCCAGCACCACAAAAAGAAGAAAAGAAAGGAAGGAAGGAGGGTGGAAGGGAGGGAGGAAGAGAGAGAGAGAAAAGGAGAGAAGGAGAGAGAGAGAAAGGAAGGAAGGAAAGAAGGAAAAGAACAAAGAATGTAATAGATTATTGCTGGGTTTGGAGCATTTTGCTTTGAATTAAAGGGTTAGAAACAAATTTCTCTGAAGACATTTAAATTTTTTAAAAAATAAAAGTAAAACAACAAGAGAGTGAACATTTGCACAGTGCTATTCCTTTTAGTCCTAAAATGAAGCTCCAGGCCATGGAACAAAATAATCATGAGTCTACTAAGCCTAGTCTTATACCACATCCGGTTTTAGCATTAAAATGACTGCACCAATGTAAAAGTATTAATTAATGCAGAAGTATAAACATATTTGAACAGACAAAATAAGGGGCCATTGCCTCATGACAGAAACACCTTCAGTACTTCACATGTTCTTTGTACGTGCTCTCAAAAGAAAACAGGAAGTGTTAGTTGTCTTGAGTCTCAAAATCAGCTTCAATTTCTAGCTAAATTGACCCGTAGTGACTTAAAAACTTAAGGGAATCTCAGAGCCAACTATTACTTTTGTTTGTACCCAAATATTTTCTCCAATGCTAAAGAGGTCTGACTGTATTATTATTATTATTAATTATAAAATTGTACACAAGTCAAAGAAATAAAGTTATACTCTTAAATGAAAGAAATTACACATTTCCTGTAATTAAATTAGAAAAGCTAAGCAATATTTCATTAGCACTTGTTAACATCTTCTAGGAAAACTAATGTTATACCAAATCTAATTTTTCTATTTAAAATTTTTTTCTATTTTGTAAAAAGACTGCAGATGAAAAAAAATTTCCCATGAATATTTAGAAGTGAAATACATTAACTCTATCTGCTATCTTTAAATCAAGTCCAAATGAGAAGTCTTCCATATTTTACAGTATTTTTGGTGCAGCTAAAAGAGAGGTGGTAGCCATTCCCCTCCAACATACACACAATAGGAATGGACTCTTGCTCAATTCTATGAAATTTTATGGACTTCTTTAATTTAATGCTGAATTCTCAATTCCTGTCCTGTGCAAACAACATAAAATAATGTCATTTTTTAAATTGTTATTCTTTACTGTACTACACAGGTGAAAAGAAAAAAAAACGATTCAGAACACATATCCAATATCATGGTCTATTTACAAAAGAAACGGAATTTTTGAACCCTAAAAATGAGGGTCTTCTGACTGTTATGTCTCGTGCATGTTCTATGTACTGAGCCACAATAACACATATTATTCAACAAATATCATAAAAAAAGATTTTATATATAAATTCAGCATCAGTATTTGAGGCAAATGATATCTCACTTTTAAGTCAACTTGACCATTATTTGAAGCTCACACAAGTGCAAAAGTGAAAAAAACTTATTTGCAAAAGGTAATAATAAATTTTAGTGTAAAAAGATTGTTCTTGGAAATTAAAAAAAAAAAAAACACTTTGAAAGTGAGGCTGTAGTACCAGCATGAAACTTCACCACACCACTGAAAAACATTTTGCCCTGATGGCAGTGAATTGCTGCTGAGTTTTTCCTCAAGATTATTGAAGAAAGGGAACCTAATGGCGTCCCACACACAACAAGGTAACAGTCAAAAGCAACTATGTATTTACCGGACTTTATCATTTCTCTTTAAGTTTTGTGAGTAGGTAAGCTGTGATAAGCAACTTCAGAAGAACGCAATCCTTTAGCTCAGTCAGTGTTTCTCATCCTTCTATTTCTGTCCCCCACACACAAGAGGTTCCATTTTAAGTAAGACTTCTTAGGACACCAGTCACTAATGCACTAAGAAGCTGGTTACGAGCAAGAAGTTGCTAGGCTGTTGCTAGAATTGATATTTGAACTCATTATTTCATGAGATCAAATAATTCCAATTGCCTTTCTGTCAGTAGCAATCCAATTCATACAAAGAATCAATAAAGAATTGTACATAGTAAAACTACAATGTAAAGTAACTATAGCAATATTTAAAAGAGGCATATCTAATTTTTTTCAATTACTACTGTGATCATTGAAAAGAGTAGCTTTGCAGTTTTCTTCAGAATAAGATGATTATTTTTAGTTGCAAGGCTTTCTAAAAAACCTTTAAACTGCAGTGCTAGTGCTTAAGAAGTGATATTGATATGAAGTTATATTCTTCACAAACATATTTTAAATCCCTGTATGGATATAAACTTTTTTGGGAGGGAGTTGGGAGAGGCGCAGCATTGGAGTGTGTTTTTAGAGAAGATTTTAGTAAATTGATAATACTCATTCATCCCCACCCTGGAATAGTCCTGCTTTATCCATCCCAACTTCCCCTTAGAGATAAAACACATTTCATAATCCATAATAATTTACTCGTGACTAATCCATATGTTGTACTTGGTGTAATTTATTAAAATTTTTAAAAAGTAAAGTCAACATGCTAAGGTCTATCATTTCTCAAGTATTAAGGACTTGGATTTTATTTTTAAAAAAAAATCACCATATTACACATTACAACTAACTTGATTCTTATGTATAAGATTTTTCGAACTCTTTAACTTCCCAGTGGGGATCTAACTCAAGAGAGAAAGTTGGTTAATTACCAACATCTCTTTTAAAAAAGGTCAAGATGCCTTAAAATTCCATGGTCACTTTCTTGGCTATGGAGCATTATGAAAAGAAATATGTAAACTTTGTAGTTTCCCAATTTAGCAATGTTTTAATTTTCTGCATGTCCAAAAAGACGTAAATGGACAAATCTAGCTACAAATAAACTAGGCTAATTTGGGGATCTCATCTTAGCTAATATTGTTCAGGGCATAGGATAAGTCAAATTAAAATATCTGTGCAAAAAAATATATATATAATGATATTTAATTGCTGACAGCAAAACAAATGGTCTATTAACAGTAAGAAAACTATTACCTCTTTTAAAATTACATTAACAACTTTTTGCTTATATTGTGACTCAATAAATTAATGTAAGCTATTTTGAAGATGTTTAAATTATTCTAAAATGAAATCTTATGCAAAGTTTGTAAATAGTAGCACACCTGGGTATTCAATAAAACACTCAAGATTAATTCCTGAATTTAATTAAGCTTATGAATTTTTTTCTAAGTAAAAGCCTATGATCCTTCAAATACATTAGTCATTTTCTAGGTTTATTTTATAAAAAATAAATCTTCAGATTTAATTTACAGGTATGTTAATAACCATGGGTAAGAATATTCCACAGTTTTTAAAGATAAACTCAGATTAATTATTCAATCACTTCTCTAAGCTACAAGACACAAAACAAGTCACAAGTAAAAAAAAAAAAAAGTACTAAAACTGATTATAAAATGGTAAGTCTGTCACAGATTCCACACTTTAAAAATTCCAGAAACAGAGTTGCTATGCATACTCAAAATCTGCCAGCAAGTGCACTGACTTGGAATCTATCAGATTTAAACATCTTAAGAACCAACAAACCTGCCACAACAATGAAAAAAGGTATTTTAAGTTATTTTGGATAAGCAAATAAATTCTTTCATAAATAGAAATCTGTACAACCTTCAACTTTGCAAAACTAAGAGATAAAAGTTAATACAAGAACCTCTGGAAATTTTTCATGAAAAAGTTATGATTAAATATATGGCTTATGTTGCAATAATAAGTAATCTGTTGCAATAAATTTCATTTAGAGAGACTGGCAAAAATGACCTTTAAATACAACAAAAACTTCATTAATACTTACCTTTCATTAGCATACAAATACAGTCACCCTTTCAAAAGACTTATTAGGAAAACTATTTAACTTAAATGATTCATAAAGATTGCAAAAGCTTTTTGGAGAACCAGAATATCAGCAAAACAAAGAAACTTATTTTACATGCTAACAGCAACTTGATCAACTGCATTCAAGACCACCCGATAAAATACATCAGTCTGCCTTACAGTAGTCACAGCAACATTTGGGTTCCATTCAGGGACCCCTCTCTCTACTTTTAATCATCTTGAAAATCTGTTCCAAAAATTACAGATTTCCCATAGAATGTGAACACACAAATCACACAATCACATTAAAAATATCTATAACTTTGTCTTTGTGCTTCTCATACAACAAATCAAAAAATTAACATTATACATTTTACCATGCCAAATCCAAAAGGAAAATGTCAAATTATAGATACCAACAAAAATCCCTCAACATTAGACATTTCTGAAGACATAAAGCTTTACTGAAGCAATAAGCTCATTGTTCCTATGAATAAAGTTGCACACAATAAAAGATATAATAGGTTGCAGCATGAAATTGTATCAAAAATCCAAAATGCCTTTAAATGTCTCCTTGCTATATTAAATAAGTCCCAAAAAAGTGACAAAATAGCAAAACTCAATTTCAATAAACATCACACGCATAGTAAAATAACATAGAAAACATTTTTTAAATCCTCCAATCCTCCAAAGATTTATTTTAAACCCATAGATTTCCTAAGTATTGGATACACACCTAGCGTTCTGTGTTGTGAACAAGGTGGAAAGAAGACACTTGCACTTAAATCTTGAAGCATCCCGTCCTGATGAACCCAGAGAAACTAATTTCTGCCATCAGAAAAGTCCTCCACCAGAGCACCAAATAATGATATGCGCTGCTCTAAAGGAAACAGCAAGCCAGCCGGGTTCTGGCTCTAGGAGGTCTCTCGAGGTACAATAATATAAACCTGATCAATTGCAATTAAAATCTGAACAGAGGCTTAGAACTTGAAGTCTTGGTGCATTAGTTCTTGCCAAAAGCAGATGTGATTGTGAGCTGGAAGCAATTTCTCCTGGTAATTTGTGATGACACTGGGTAGTGCAGCCCCAGAGTCCCCAAAGACAAACTCATCAGAGGCTCTAATGTATGCATGACACATGAGGTGGCTCTTTTAGAGCTCAATTAATTGGGCTGAACATTAAGACAGCAAGTTCAGGACTCTTTTTTTTTCATTTCTGGAGTCACTTCCCCCCCCACCCTTTTAAGCAATTTTTTTTGCCTTACCTTCTGCAAGCCATGTTTCCTGTAACTGACTTAGATCTTGAAAGAGTTCTAAAAAACAAGTCAAAGACATGAACATAAAATTTGCAAATCTTTAGGCTTCACAAAATGGAAATGTTTGTCATGAAATTGTCATTAAATTGAATCTAATTTGGGGAGGGGGAGTTGATAGAGAAAGAAGACATAAATATCTCAATAATCCCATCAACTTTTGATGTCTACTAAGCAACACTTTTAAGAAATTACTAAATAATAAGTCAATTAGCTTTTTATTTTTTGCCCTTCTTTACAAATGGCTTAAGAAGTAAGGTCAGAGATGCCACAAAACACACATGTACTAAAACTCACAGAAAGGCTGAAGTAGAGGTAGTCTATTCACGAAACCCTGTCTTAAATATATTTAACTCTTGTCTACATAGTAGGGAAAGATTAGAAAGAATGGAGAGCATTTTATTTCTATCTTCTAAATCTCATATACAAGTTGTTAACAGGACTTGGTTAACTTTCAAAATATTATGTCTTCAGATTTAATGTCTCAAAACTAAAAGACACAGCTTTGAACACAAGCTCTTAAAGGAAACCTCTTGATAGGTTTATAGAACCCAAAGATTGATAATCCCATAGCTTCACTTTATTATCAAGTCCAAAACTTGTATTTTGTCATACTGGGGAGAGAGGAGGTGCCCAATAACTGTAAAGATCTGAGGAAGTTGCAAAATTCAGTATACCTAACTTATACTACAAACTGAACTTTGATAATTAAATTTAAGTATCTTCAATTCATTATGAATGCCCCCATATGGCTGAAATAATTTATAATCTATTGATCTCCTACCAACAGTTCATAAAAGGAATCTGCAACCTAATTTCAAAAATACTACTGTAATTATTAATTAGGCCTTAAGTATGATTCAGTGAATACTTTAAGGCCTATTAACAAGATGTAGTCATCAAACTCACCCATGAAAATTCTGATAACAGTGTATGGTTTCAGTATAAAGTAGATGGGAAATCAATCATTTATGTTGTTTAACTTGTAATAAAGTTGAAAGAAAAACGTAAGCAGTGAACATTGCTGTTTATTTTGTCCTACCATGTTGGATATTTTAGAATTTATTATCTTAGTGTAGGTGATTAGTTATATGCCATATGGACAAGAACAAATACAAAAGAATGATTAAAAGAAGAATGTCACTCACTGTGAAGTTTTTATTTCCTTTTTTCATTAGTTTGTGACAGAACCATATTGGATACAAGTTGTCACATTATGGTAATTGCTCCAGGTAAAAGTCTCAGTTAAATTCACTAACTTCTAAGTTTATTATTTCTAAGGTAAGATTGAAGTGCTCTCCCTCTTTAGAAGGGTAGATAGTGTAGGTCACTGAGGGGAGGATTCAGCTCAAAATCAAGCCTCACCTTCTGAATCATGAGCCAGATCTCTGTTAATGAATTTTCTTTTCCTGACATTTGTTGGTTTCTCGTTACAATTTCTCCCACGCTGACTCTACAAGGGAAAGATAAAATCCTTTAAAAGAATATAAACCTCAGATGTCACACACATATGCGCGCACACACAACAAAAAAAAGAAAGAAAGAAAAAAAAACCTGCATACATAACATAAGCCTACTGGATCCTCTCTCTGAATAGAAAAATAAAAGTTCACAGAATCCATTCTAAGATTCATTTTCTGCCTTCATTTTACAGTGAAAGCTTGGGCAGAGAATTCAACATCAAGGGAGAGTTGCTTCCCAGTGCCGATCCTAACACTACAGTTACACATATCAGTTATACATATTCATGACATCTCTGCATCAAAACAACATTAAGCTATAACACTTAAAGTCGTTTTTAGGCTGGATCAACACTAAATTAAAATGCAATGACTTTCATTCTTCTTTCAGATAGCACTCCCAAACAAAAAGAGAGTGGGGAAATGAAAAAGAGAGAGAGAGAGAGAGAGAGAGGGAGAGAGAGAGAGAGAGAAATATATATAACAAAACCCCCAAACACTCCATGTAAACAAAAAGTGTCAGCATTTGTCTCAACTTCATTCTTTTCAATGTGGCAGACAAACCCAGCCACAAACTTTGAGTGCTGCCCTCCTTCTCCTCTTCCACTCATCTTGGGCACTTTAATCAGAAAAGAGGGTCTTAAAAACAAAATTATGCCTTAGCCAAATCACTGAAAGGTAAGCTCATTTTGAAGATTGGGCTTCTAGAGGCAGAGTCGCCCTACAGTGGCAACAAGGCAGATAAAATATCTGCAGTCCCAACCCCCTGCCCCCTCCCTCCTCATTTCTCCCTCTCCCACCCCACCCCCGTCGGAGTCAAGTTTATAAACAGCAACTTTCGAACTGATCACTCACATTGGTGACCACGTAAGGCACTTGCTGGTCATAAAATCCATCCATTCCGCAGCTCTTCGCAAATATTAGCTCAGTATTTTATATTTTGAGCATTTAGCTGGAGGTTTCCTTAGGATCTGGACTTCTATCAACCTAGAGGGGAACAAGATGGCTTTTAGGCTTTAAAAAAAAAAAAATTCATGAATGAAGCTCTTGAATTTGCATAGCTAATTACCCTCTGACAGTCCCATTCACAAAAATAACCCTCCCAACACTGCCTCCTTCACCTGGATCCAAAGAGAGCCAAGAGAGTTCACAATTTACATATTTTCGGTAGTAGCAAAAATCCGAACAAGAGGCGATGTATTTATTTACACTCTGGATGTTTCCCTGCGCGGTCGGTGAACCCCGGGCAGCTCTGATTCTCAAACGTGTGCAAAACTAGCAATGGCGATCAACGAGACTTGCTTTGCACCTAACGGGACTAAAGAGACGGAGACACCTCTTTCATAAGGATAGTTTTTGCAACCCACAACCATGCAATTATCTGGAGAGACATAAAAAAGTTGTTGGAAAGACCCACCTGAAGGCCACGCTAGGCGAACGGCTGCAAAAAAATCCCTCCAAATTTAATAAAAACATTAATTATTGCCCAGCACTTCCCCTTGGAAGCCGAAAGCGCCTCTGACAGAGCTCAATTCGGTGGTTTTTTCTCTACTTCTCCTCCAGGGGCCTCCAATCCAAACTGATGGATCGCTGCCTCCCATTGGCTCCACGTCTCTTTCACAATATCAGATTTCGGGCTGTCAATCAGGCGGCTTGCTGCCCCTTCCCGCGGGTCTCCAGCGCCCCTGTGCCCCAGCGAGTGTGCGCAGGGTCGGCACACTGGCCAAGCCGCGGAGGAAATCGACTTCCTTCCTAACTCGCTGCTTATTGTGAATGCGCCCGGGGATACCGAAACCATGTGCACCGAGTCGCCAGTCTTACTTACTGGTGTGTTTGGTTCATTATGGGGCTGATTTCCTTATGGTTCAGGTGTACACGCTGAAGCGCGATCCACAAAGCCCTAGCCCCCCAACATCTGCAGCCCCACTACTCTTGTCTTGACAGGGAGCCCACTGCACTCTCCAGCCTTGCTCCCACTAACCTTTTGGCCCAAGTTCTCCTCTCATTTTTCTACACTAACCACCACTATAGCTTGTGGAATAATTTTTTTAAAAACTCATCCTTGATGAAAATGAGCGCCTGTCGTAAGAAAGTATAGAAGCAGAATTGCCCCACGGTCCACAGTGGAGGAGGGGAAGGAACAGAGAGGGACTAGGTGGCTCGGATGCCCTGGGGACCGCACGTTTCCTGAGCTTTTGTTATGTACACACCGAGGGGAGGGTGTCACTTACTGTACTGGACGCTTTCACTTCCTCTCCAGCTTTGAAACAGCCGGAGTTGGGGGCGAGGGAGCTCGAGTTACAAGGACAATAACGAGGACATTAAGAAAAGAGGGCTGCATCTCTGAAGCCACTTGCCCATGGGGCTTGGAGTTCCAAAGTGCCTCTTCATAAGCCACGATCTTACAAGGGGATGGGAGGCCTTGGGGAGGAGAACAGAGGCTCAGCGGTGTTGAAATTTACTTATGACCCTGGTGGCCACCAGAGCGAGTGCCCAAAGTAACGTTTCCGGCAGCAGTTCCGCCTGTTGAAAACGTGCTGTACTTCTCAATTTCTACTTGAAAGTTTCCTTCCTTAAATGGAACATTGTGGAGACACATGAAAATGGAGTGTGAGCGCAAAACACTCCACTACGGACCCATGAAGGAGGAGCATGATCTAGCCTGTCAAAAATAAGGGAAAAAAAATCAACATTTCCCACTAGGAAAATACCTACAACTGTGGACATCCAGGACAGACACCATGCATGCCCTGCAACCCGTAAATCAGTTTGCAACGTGAGCATCCGAAAACATTTCAGCGGGAATTATATTTTAAGCCTCACAAGGCAAGCATTTCGGGCGCAGCCCGGGTGGCGAGACTGCAATACTGAGATTCTTGTGAGGGTGCAAGCAGGAGAGAAGACAAAAACAAGGGATCCCGCCACTCGGCATTCCCGGGGTGACCCAGCCCCTGTAAACGTAGCAACAGTTTCCAAAGACCTTCTCTGCGGCCCGAGCCTGACGGGTATCCAGGGCAACCGGGAGAGGGCGGAGCTTCGGGTTCGGCCCCCGCGAGTTTCTCCTCGCAGCCAATAACAAACCGTAAATTTCCAGCCCATTGTTGTTTATAGCTGACCCCGCAGCGCTCCGTTAGGAGATTGGCCGCTTTAGGAAAGGGGGCGGAGCTCTTCCCGCCCCTTCAGCCACCTTTCGGCTCCATTCACAAAATCCCGGTCTTTCTGGGTCACGTGGTTGGGGGCGTGGAGGGGCAGGGGAAGTGACACAACAAAGCCTCAAGTTCCCCAAGCCACAAGACTTTTTTATGCCTGGCTTTCTCCTCTTTGTCCCGTCCGTAGAACAAATACTAGATGAGGAGAAGGAGCTTTGAGCCGGGGAGCAATAACGAGAGAGAAAAAATAAATTGGAAATTAAAGCGTTCACTGTCTAGCAGAAAAGCTGCGCAAAAGGGAGAGAATTTTCTCCTCGAAGGGAGAGAGCTTTCAGGAAAGACTAAAACTTTTGCCTGCTGCTTCCTCAAGTCATTGTTAAAAGTGCAAACAGATTACAGAACGATTTCAGTTTTTTCATTTAACACTGCACTTTTCATTTCTGCTTTTGATTTATCCCACAGGGTCAAATTTTTTTTTTAAAGCTTCTTGCAACAATATTCCAGGTTTTCGCTGGCTGACAGTTTTAGTTAGTTTCCCAATTTCATCAGCCCTGGACAGGCCCCTTCCCCTCCTAGGATGCTGGCATGTCCACCAATGCGCAGCCGCTGAGCCTCGGTTTTTCCTATGAACTGCAGGGGCTCTTTTAAAAGAACTCATACCTACACCCTAGGTGACCTTCACAATAATGGACAATGATGTACTCATGTGAATAAGCAGTCGTCCTCGCCACAGCTCTGCTTTAACCCGCGTACAATTTTAAGATGAAGCGTGCCCCTCTTGGGAGGGAATGTTTGAACCATGCCCGGTTCTCTCCCACTTTTCCTTGTGCCTTTTTTCTGCCTTGATATTTAGTGAGACATTTCCTTTCTTGTTTCTGTGCCTTGATACTTAGTGAAACACTAGCATCTGGCTTGGCGCCTGTTTATCTTCTATGCTTAGCTCTGGGAAAAACCAATAGATCCAGGGGCTGAAGACGCTGGAAGAGCTGAAAATGTGTTTTTCAGAAAATGTTGCTGTGGTGGAAAAAGTCTCCAGAGGCAGCTGCTCTGTCCACAAGAGAGGAACGTCAGAAGTTGCACAAAGTTTCCACTACTTTTGAGAATGTCTTAAAAATCAGTTTAGTAAATGCCAGTCCTTCTTGAATGGAAAATTTCATTTTGGCAGGATTTCAGGCGTAGAATGGCAGAGCAGAGGCCAAGAAGCGTTGACATTTATTTACTTGTCTTTTGAAATCCCGTTTGGGTTTTGAAATAAGAGCTCTTGAGACAAAGTAACCCCCTCCTCCAACAAAGTCCATTTTTTGAGTTTGGAAAGTTTTTAACATGCATATAAAGCTATTTAAAGCTTTATAGTTCCTTTGCTGCTATTTTATAAAGTAAAATAATATTCATTAGTGGCTTTTCTGCAGTTAACTTATGGCATTATACTGAAAATGCATGTTGTTAAATAAGTGAATTTCTAAAAACGGTTTAGGAAAAGAAACTAACATGGTACTGCTTGTTTAAAATGATTAATGTAAGTGAAATTTTCTCAATTGAACAATGGCTTATTTTATAATTCATTTTATGCTATTGATGGCCTAGTTTACATAGGGCCTACATTAAACAGAAAAGGGAAAGAAAAACTATTAAATAGCAAAATTGGCAAAAGAAATTAACAAATGACAATAATTCCAAAGAAAAAGACAAGAGTCCTAACAGAAGGGTGAGAGATAATAGTGGTTTCAGTGGGCTGTCTGTGGAAAGGAGGAGTAGGAATTTGACCTAGTCAGAAGGTAAGAGACTATCAAAGAAAGACAGCAGACTATATTCCCTCTCCCACTCTGAACACTGCGATTGTCAGCTGGTGAAGATCTGTAAACTCCATCAAGTAGAATAAATGTAAATAGCTCATGCACTATAGGTTAGAACAGTAGACACTTAAAAGATAAGGACTGGCTGAGTGCCTGTGGCTCATGTTTGTAATCCTAGCCACTCACGAGGTAGAGATTAGGAAGATTGTGGTTCAAAGCCAGCCTGGGCAAATAATGCATGAGACCCTATCTTGAAAAAATTCAACACAAAAACAGGGTAGGTTGAGTGACTCAAGTAGTGGAGCATCTGACTAGCAAGGGTGAAGCTCTGAATTCAAACCCCAGTACTGCCAAAAGATAAAATATATATAATAAGGACAGAGTTTAACCTGTCAAGTTGGAAAAAAAATTTTTTTCACTGTCCAGAGATTTGCAGGTTAGGATAAGCGTCCTCACCTTCTGGTTGGAATGTGATTTTTATAACCTTTTTAAAGTGAGTTTTCAATATCTACTAGACTCTAAAATGTATACCTATTAGATGCAATAATCCTGATCTGGGAAGTCTATCCCACAAAACTCAAAGTAGGAGTACATAGGAAGTATTTATAGAAGGAAAAAAATCTAGAAGCAACTCAATACCCACAAATGAAAGAATGGGTTTAACATACTTTGGAATTCAATTTATGACCACAAGCCTGTTGAAAAGTATGTTATTCCCTTGGTTCTCAAACTTGAGATTACTTAATAAATTCAAATTCAAATTCGCCACATGCCCAGGGGCTCATGTCTATAATCCTAGCTACTTGGGAGGCAAAGATCAGGGAGGCAAATAATGTGTGAGACCCTATTTTGAAAAAAACCAATATGAAAACACAGCTGGCAGAGTGACTCAAGAGGAAGACTGCATGCCTAGAAAACATGAGGCACTGAATTTAAATCCCAGTACTATCAAAGGAAAAAAAAATTCAATTCTTAGGTGTCTCCATAGGCTTGAGCTAGGCTGCAGGAAGCAGGTCACATTCAAATTCTGTTGCAGGTTTTGTTGCAGTTGGTCCCGATATTTCTTTGAAAAACCCTGGGTTGGATTTCTACCAGAACTGCAAAGGGAGGACTGCAGTGCGTACTAGTGAGACATGTTTTATTTGACCCATACAAGGCGAACCCTCCTGGGGAATTCACTGTCAACATTTAAAATTCAAACTACACAAAAATCTACACTTCTAATATGTTTGGAAAAAATCGGAGAGTATGATAAGCCTAAATTTCCACATGACAAATCCTGTTGCAAGGCAGAAAGAAAGAGTTTTTCAAGGCCACCATCAGCAGAAACTGATGGAAAGGAACAAATGCTGCTTGTATGGGATGTGGGCTCTCAATTTTGCCTTGGTTCACACTCTTCCCCAATCCGTTTGTCTTGTTTATGTTAGGTATCTGACCTTTCTAATGATTTATATGTGCCATCTATGAAACGTGACCTAGCATTTCAAATGAAAAAAAGCAACAAACAGTATA